ATAAATTGATTATATAATTTGGAAAACTTTGGCGAGCCAGATTAAGAAGTATAACAGTAAAATTGTCTTTCCATTTACAAAATGTGATCAATTACAAAAAAAAAGTATATGTTATTTTTCGAGGCATTAACTACAACACACTAACATCATAATCCATCATTTTAGGCCAGGATTATCTTAAATGTCCATTGACAATTCCATTTATGAATTTCAGGCTTTGATGGATGACGGTAATTAACCAAATTCAATCTCCTAAGAGTTCGTAGAAGTCACCCCTCCCTGTTTCCTGCTTCTTTACACACAAACACACTGGAACACCCACTCGCGGTACCTATCATGTTCATTTTTGTAAATAACATTATAAGATGTGTGTGTACAGAGCTTCAAAGAGTTTTAGTTTGTAGCTGGGCAGGACCAATTCTACCCTTGTAAGAAAATGGTTTCTAATAAAAAACTATAGTAATACTAATAGAAATAATACAAAAAAGTTCAGCTTTTTAATCCAGCCCGCTAAACTTTTCCAAAATATATAATTTATTTACATCATCATTATACTTCTGCCTTTTCCCTGCAATAGCCACATTTCTGCAATACATGACGTAGAAAGTGATGAAAGCATTTTAGCATTTTTAGCCTTTTATGCGTGACTTTTACATGTCATTTATCTTCCCATGAACGCTCCATCTGTCTGCTACTATTGTATACACTGTACGGGTGTGTAAGTGTGTGTGTGTGTGTGGTAAAGCTCCGTTCCTATGCACATCAGTGAAACTGTCCCGATGGAGAAGGAATGGGACCATCTGGCCCCCCTGCAGGTGACTCTGTCTTGATTGAGTAGTTAGGCTGAGAAAGCTCCGGTAAAACTGTACTGCGCTAAAGCTGCTGTGTCAGGCCAAAAAAAAAAACAAACTTGAAACTTGAAAAACAACCGTACATCTTGCAGTGCACCTTAAAGAAATTACCACTGAAAGTGTCTGAGGCAGTTTTACTGATGCTTTGGCCCGATTGCTAATTGCTAATAAGAAAAAGAAAAAGAAATTGAAATAGATTATCTTTTGTGTGTACTGTTGTTCATATGTTCGCCAAGGTTTGAGAACTAGTTATCTAAAATATTTTTTTTTTAAATGTATATATATATACATTTAAATGTAACTGTTTTTACGAGTCCTTTACAACGTTATTATCAGACAATCATTTGACGTCATTTCTGCCACTCTTTCGTTAAACATTTATGTGCATTCCAACTACTAGCTAACGTGTAACCAGCCAGTTACAGGCACTGTTTTCGGAAAAAAAAGCTTTTTTTTTTTTTTATTACAACTGAAAATAAAAGTGGACGCCTGTGTCTTATAGAGAAGTGCGGCCTATATATGTAGTTATTTTTTCCTTTCAAAATTTAGTGGGTGCGACTTATATTCAGGTTTGATCAAAGGTCTGAAAAGGAAATGACGGTACTTTTGATTTGTTGATTATTACAATTCATCAGAGGTGGGACCAGGTCATGGCTTTGCAAGTGACAAGTAAGTCTCAAGTCTTTGCACTCAACTCCGAGTCAAGTCTCAAGTCAAGACAGGCAAAGTCCGAGTCGAGTCCAAGTCAAGACTGAAAAGTGTCAAGTCAAGTCCCAAGTCCTGCCGTTTCTGTTTCGAGTCCTTTCGAGTCCTTTTCAAACAAAATAACAATATATTTACACAGGTCACTTTGGGTTTTGGAGAAAGTCTCGAGTCATGTCGAGTCAAAGGGCTCGAGTCCGAGTGAAGTCACGAGTCACTGACGTTAAAGTCCAAGTCGACTGGCAAGTCTCTTTACATTTTGTCAAGTCGAGTCCAAAGTCGTCAAATTGATGACTCGAGTCTGACTCGAGTCCAAGTCAAGCGACTCGAGTCCACACCTCTGCAATTCATTGTAATGAATTGTAATCATCTGTTACTATAAATACATGAAATTTGCAAGTGATAAATGGTTACAACATTACTTCAGTGCTTAGTAAAAAAAACAATTCATCAACTACTTCCAAAAAACAACTGATAGATGTATCAAATCTTGGCCACATCACAACATTTTCTCATAGTATGGTAAAAAAATTAAGAATATTTGTAATATATTTAGTTTCAGGTGCAAAGCCCGACACACGGATTTGCCCATAGGGTAATGTGCGGGTGTGTAGAAAAAGCAAATGTGTGTGTTGGGGAATCATTCGTGGGTGGCCCCTCTTCTCAAAATCCTCTATGCCTCATCCTTCATCTGCGGCTCCTCGTCATGTCCCATCAGCACCACAGTTACACCTGAACACTCCACTGCTGCTAAACACCTGGCTCCATCTCCCACTGTCCGAATGAAAAATAAGCATTATCTGGCATTTGGAATATCCAACCAATGAGGGATTACATGACAAATTGGACGGAGAGCCATTATGCAAAATGAGTGAAATTAAAGCCATGTGTCCTGGAGAACATTTACACAGGCTCCTGCCTGGTGTGTTTTAAGAAATGAAACAAAAAGTGAAGGAATAAAAAAAATGTTATTGTGGACAATTTAGGAACTTGGATTTTGCACCATTTTGTCAGTTTTTTTAACAGGATCTTTTTTTTTTTAGGAAATAAAGTGGAGTACATGAGTAGTACATCCAATACCGACCTGCTTCTGATTATGGTCATTTTTTTGTTATACTGGTCATACAAATCCCACATGTCAAGGTCTAAAACTTTTTTGTAACTCTTCCGAGGGCAGAACAACCTGTCTGAACACTGCAGAATAATAAATATTGCCTTAAAGGAGTAGTAAACATACTTTCCAATTAGAAGGAGGGAAATGAGAGAATACTCTTTTTGTGGTTCATGTTTAATACTTTGGGCCTCTGTAAATCATTTTATAGGGCAACTGAAGCCTTTGGCTGGTGTTGCGGCATATTATGTATCTAGTAAGAACAACAAATGATAGAACAAAAAAGAACAGAAAGTATTTTTAGCACTTGTTTTCCTAAAGGAAAGGAAAGGAAAGTTGAGAGCAGTTTGAGCCCCTGTCATGTTGAAGCATCACTTGGTTATACAGGAGCAGTTAAGACTCTGTTTACGTTCTGTTGTTGTCAAAACAGGATAGAGCTGGCGTGTAACCAGTCGGAAAAAAACATCTATTTAAATAAAAGAGAGAAAAAAAAAATCTTTCTGTGTATATCCCATATTGCAACATGGACACCTGCGGCTTATACAGAAGTGCAGCCTATATATATTTTGTTAAAAAAAAAAATGCAATATGCTGGTTTGGTTCTTGAGTACATTTAATTTAACACTTGCTTATTGGTCATGGGTCATTAGCCTCGGATTCTCCTTTGCTCTGAAAGGGGGAAACGGCCCTCTTATTAAATGAACATCTTTTCTCTGCTGCTTCATTAGGGAAGATCTGGATCTTTGCATTTTCTCCATTGTTCCAATTACAGGAGCAGGCGCTATGTAAAATGGACCTTGTGTCCATTATTCCTGGTGCATTGGTTTTTGGTAAAAACACACTGGATCCTTGTTAAAGACATGACATGTACTGGAAGAAAATATTGTATATAGTAAATAGTAATTAACATCATTTCCAGACAATTGAGTGCACCCGATTACAAGCCGCACCCGCTAAATTAAAAAAAAAAAAAAAAAATTGTACATATATAGGCCGCAGGTGTCCACGTTGTAACATGGAATAGTTACTCTGAAAGATGTTACACAGAAAGGACTGATTAGCATAACCGCTAACTGCTTCTAACGGAGCTTTGTGTCCATTTGGTATAGTTTTCTCTTGGCGTGATTCACCTAAAGCTGTTGCTGTTGTTTTTCTGTGTGTAAAATAAGTCAAACAAACATTTCTAATGTATTTTCGCAATGTGTACATTAGCCCACAATCTATAAAACAAGTAAACTTTCATGTAGCTAGCTAGCTTTCATACATTGTTTATAAATGCTACTTATTTCCATTAAACACTATGAAACTTTACACATGTTTATTTTTTATTAATTTTTAATTTATCAATTGTTTTCGAACCACTCCGTGTAGCTAGACAATTTGACGCACAACAACAAAAGCAACAACAACAAAAAAAAATAAATCTTGTGGAAATGGAACTGAGGCTTTTTAGTTATCTGACTCGATCATTGATCAATGGAGCCCCATTAAACTCCTTAACTTTGTGCCCAGCATTAGCAGCCGTTTACATCAGTTCTAGCAGCGAGGCTGACGCTAAGTGATAGATTACAGGTTGTGGCTAATCTAATACGGCAGCAGCACTTGTACAATTTTTAATTCACATGTCACTCTTATCTTAATGTTACCGCGTCACTTAACTAATTCAGGCTTTCTGTAATATTTGTAGTGCCATGAGATGACGACAGCATTCCATTTTAAGAACGTTGCTAGCTAAAAAAAAAACATGTAACAATACTAAACCTGAAGAACAATTTCAACACTGACAGCCACTAGAGGGCACTCTAGGCCAGTACCAGTATCTGTCACTCCTGTATCACTCCACTTTGTCACTGGGGCATTGTTCTATTTTAGAGCACACATCATTGGCCAAAACCCAGACATTGCGTTATCAGGTTTTCATTATCAGAGGAAAAAGCAATAAGGATTCTTAGCGATATTACAAACTATGCTAATATCGTGCCAATAAAATTGGTCAGCCAATACTATCGAACAACCCTAATCAATAGTAGTTTGTTAACCCCGAAGCTTCACCAGTCCCGTTGGTGTCAGACATCTTTTGAACACAGAACATTATCAACGCTAAACAAGCCTCGAGTCACTAGAGGGCAGCATTGTAGCTTATTTTATTAATCTATATTGATAGTCAGGGGAAACCTTACAGGGGTTTGTACAGATACATATATAAATATTAACACCGGGCCCTGCTATATCTGTATTGGTTTATATATCGTAATCGGAAATTAAGTGTTTGGACAATATCGGCAAAAAGTTAATATCACACATCTCTACTATTGATTTAAATTTAAATGTAAACGAATGCATTTTAAGAACCCAAATCTCATCCCAGTACTGGAGTTTTAAGTAATAAAGAAAATAAATAGCATCTGTTATACTAATCACATTTGTGTTAACCCAATTTGTATTTATTATGCTAATGGTACATGAAATTAAGTAAATGACCTCGACGCCAGTGGGTTTTATTAATGAGCTTTCGGTAGGGGTGCCATGACATCATTCATTTCTTTATAATAAGTCTCATCTGCGGTTTCATGGCTCCCTGTGCCACCGACTGCCTGAGTTATTCCTGCAGATGCGCTGTTCACAGCATGGCACCTACATTGGAAATGTACACCTCATTATATTAACCACCTAACTAAGCACACTGCAGTTCCACACAGACTCATTAATGCATGAGCTTTCTTTTGTCTGAAAAGGAGGATGCAGAGGGGGGGGGGGGGGGCGGGGGGGGCGGGGGTTGCGGCAGTTAGAGATAATGTAAATGAGAGCCAGAGGAAGAAGACGAAGAGGTTTGCCGGGAACATTAGCGCAGGGGCCATCACGCTCTTGTTGCGTCGTGACTTTTCATCTTGCTGTCTATTATCGGTTCCAGACCATAATGTTTACATTTTGTCATTGATGCTTAAAGTATGATGGAGTTTAATGACATGCTGTTGTTCGACACCGCCATTACTGACAGCTGACACCACTTGACGTGAGCTGCGTTAACTACAGTACACGTTCTCATTTAGTCCTCGTTCACGTACTCCGTTACTCTGTCCAACTAAAGAGGTCCTCTGGCCTCTTGGATCCATTGGTACCACCACCACTGGTTTTTACTCATAATGCACCTTGCAGGAAGGGAGTGATAAACTAACAAACAGACAAACATTAACAATTCTCACATGGCAGGTAAATACAAATGAATAACAAACAGGAACCTGGAACTTGTACCGGGATATAATTATTGTCCAAGTTGCTGTTAAGCCATTTCAGTAGATACAGTTGATGGATGTATGGATGAATGGACGGATGGATAGATGGACGGATAGATAGATGGATAGATGGATAGATGGACGGATAGATAGATGGATAGATGGATAGATGGACGGATAGATAGATGGATAGATGGATAGATGGACGGATAGATAGATGGATAGATGGATAGATGGACGGATAGATAGATGGATAGATGGATAGATGGACGGATAGATAGATGGATAGATGGATAGATGGACGGATAGATAGATGGATAGATGGATAGATAGATGGATAGATGGATAGATGGACGGATAGATAGATGGATAGATGGATAGATAGATGGATAGATGGATAGATGGACGGATAGATAGATGGATAGATGGATAGATAGATGGAT